AAAACAAAAAAAAAACAACTGGTATCAATCCTTCTTTAGAGAGTATCAAAACTGGTCCTTCTATATCAACAAATCAACAAACTGAATTAAATGGCTATGGTATGAATAAATTCAATTTTGGTACTGGATTAGATGATTCAAATACTTATTTGGGAAATTTATGGAATGGAAATTCTCAAAAAATTGGAAATTCAAATTCAAATTCAGCTTCTGTTTGGGCATGAAGTGTTTAAAATTTGTTTGTTAAATTAACATAGAACGGTAACTCGAAAAATTTAGGGGACACACAAATTTTGTTAGTAAAATCTAACTTCCCAGCGAAATCCATGAAAAACTCGTGTAATTACCAATTTTGATGCAAGATTTTGTGAAATTCAAAAAGTTTGGAAAGGTCCTTCGCTAGAATCGTTATAGCTCAGTCAGCTTTAATTGTATAGTTTTTTTAATTTCATATTCTTATTTAAAATTGGCAAATCTAGTATTATACAAATTTTCATTAAGTTCTGAGTTACAATTGTTGTTCAGACATTTTGTCCAAATTTTGCTCAGCGAATATTCATTTAATTGTATGGTATGTCCCTTTATAAAATCTGGGCGCGAAAGACAAAATTTAAAAAGTCCAGAATTGATTTGAAAGTTTTACTAGTGCACATATTTGAATTAAAGTACTATAACATATATCAGCAAAATATCAATTGAAATGGACTTCACCTCTCATAGAAGCAATATTCCCTTTTTTGATGTGTATTTGGATAGATATAACCAAACTGAGCTTGTTAATCAGTTTGAGGTGCAATCAGCACCTAACATATTATGTCCAGATTCTTTAAGTATAGAAAGCGTTGCATTTCTATTGAATTTATCTTTAAAACAAGATCATATGAAAAATAACATCTTATTATTGAACGTGAGTTGATTCAAAGTTCTCAGAGATATAACTCAGCGTATGGTGCATATCATAGATATACTAACAGGACCCCATGTTTTCAGCAATTCACAAAGGATATTGTTTACATTGTTTCATCATATATCGGTGTCAAGAATTCCTATTTCCTATCTGGAGATGATGATATTAGCTCACTAGCATCAGATATATCTCAACTGATAATCAAAAATTTTTCTAATTTGTTTCACGTTTTCCCAGATAATATAAATTTTATTCATCCAAACACTGAATATGTGATTAAATGTTTGAGCAATGGGTATTACAAAAAATTGAAAAAAACGCTAGGGCCTTTATTGAAAGATGTCAATGAAACACAATCAGCTAGATCTACTAAAAGAAGAAAGCTGGCAGAGCTCCCAGATTTCAACCCATCAATTGAATGTCAATTGGATGATTTAATAATTCAGCTACAAAAACGAAAGCTTTCACAACATCAATCCATAAAGAATATAAATTATATTTCTTACAAACATTCACATGGCCAAAATATAAACCCTATGAAATTGGATGATGAGGTAGATGATATTTCAAAGTTACACAACATTATCTTATTCATATTTGAAAAACGCTATAGAATACAAAATATTCAAGTGAAAGAGACATTTACAAAAGAGTTTCTCAACGGTAGAAACACATCAAGATCTTATTTGAATGCAAATGATAAGAAGGTTTTAGTTGATGCTACTAAAAACCCACTGGTACTTACAGATGTATTATTTGACAATGATGATAATTCAGGTGTTCCAATTATTAATGAGCAAATACAACCTGATAATCAACCCCAGCAATCATCAGTAGATTTGAATTTAGGTAATGAGGATTATTACATAGATGAGCCAGGTGCAGGTCAAAATAATGATGATGATCCAGTTATTAATGGTATTGAAAGACCCCCAGACTCAGAACCTACTGATACCCAATGGATGGCGCTAAACTACATTGAGCAAATTGTGAATTATTATAACGTCAATTCGCCTTTTACGGTGGATTTCCTGGCAAATGCAGATTCTTACGCTCAAGGAGAGTTCACCCAAGATGTTGGAAATAGCTTCATGAATACACTAGATCATCATGCAAAAATTCTAGGGCTAAGTTCAGAACTTACAGCATCAAGAATAAAAAGATTATATCCAACTTGGTTTGATGAATTAGATAATAAAGATGGTACTAGCCCTTCATCATCAGATTATGTCAAAGAGAGCATAAAAGGTTCTATCCACAAAAACAACAATGAATTTTTAAAATCTTCAATCATTAATCATGTTGATAAAGCAGTATCCTCATTGCAAAAACTGTCACGACCACTTACAAAATTCACCAACGCTCAAGAAGATTTACTCAAAGATTATGGATTACTACAAGTAATATCAATTTGTAAGAATAAATGTGGAACAAACTACAAAAAAGAAGCAGAGGATGGTAAAGAAGGTATTTGGCTATGTTCTATTTGTATGGAAAGCAATGATGTTCGTGATGCTGATAGTTATAACTATGTTAGTATTAGAACAAGTATAGCTGCTTTGTTCAAAAATATACACAGTTTTGAAAGAATCTGTAGTAATATTAACAGACATCATACTGCTTCTGATCAATCGTTAGGTCCTGAAACTCCTCGTTCTTTCTACAACTCAATGTTTGCTCGAATGATGAAAGGTAAAATGGTGAAGGGAGAAACTTCAGATGGAGAAACACACCATAGAATTATAGATGGTAGGAGAGCCAAATATTATGAGAAGGATGTATTAAATCTTAGTCTAGTTCTTTCCCTAGATGGGATTGAGCTAGACAAAGCAAACTCAATATGGCCAGTGGCTATATCGATCATAGACAATGGAGAGCAGTATTATCAAAAAGACAATGAAATGCATAGAAGCATGGCTATTCCTCTATTTTCTTTACCTAACAATTATCAAATAGATGAATTTTTCAACGTCTTATATGATGATTTATGTCATCTGTCCACAAATGGCATGTATGTCATGAATCCCATCACCAATACCCCTATGAAAGTTTTTGCAACTTTAGTCTGCTGCTGTGGCGATATGCCCGCACAGGCTAAGTTGACATCAAGTTCTAATGCTGTTGGCTTAAGCTTTTGCAGGTTCTGTTCAAAACTGAAAAGAGTCTATACATCCAAAGAGTTAAAAAATGGGAAAACGAAATATAAATTACGTGACATTAATGAGGAGTTCAACAACATAAATTTAATGGATATTGAAGGTTTAAGTAATTTAGAAGCTACTAGAGGTAAGGTTAGACCTGGAAATGGTTCATTCACTGATACACACTTCAATATGAAGCCTAAGAATGGAGGATATCGACTACTTGCGGAACAGGCATTAAAAGAGAATAACAAGTTGTCGTCATTGTTGGGTTTTAGCAAGATAAATAACTTCCACAAATTTGAACTTGCAATTCAAGTCCACTCTGGTATTGTGATGGATCCCATGCACAACGTGCTTGAGGGTCTAGCATCAAGAATTGTTTCGGTTATTACCAATGATGAGCTTGTTGATAAAAATCTCGCTTTTGATAAACAGACCATTGCAAATATCAACCAATTCATAATAAAGAAGAATTATAATACATTTCCAACATCCTTTGGTGAGATGATGAAGTCATTTGCTGAAATAAAAAAAGCTGAGATGTACATAAGCTTGGTGCTGTTACTAGTACCAATAATATTCGAAGAATTTCCTGACCATGGTATATCCAAAAAGTTTGTTAGTGTTATAAACAAATTCAAGCACATAATGGTATTTTGTTTCAGATTTAATATAACTCAAAAAGAGAAATCAAAAATTTATGATCTAACCACAAGTTTTATTACTGAATATGAGAAGATTTTTGACTCCCATGGAATGCGTAACAACGTTACTGTGGCACTACACGAAACCCACCATCTTGCTGCTTTAACTAATACTTTTGGACCGTTAGCTATGTATAATACTTTCGCTAATGAGCGCTTAGTTGGCTCAATTAAATCCAGTTACCACGGTCGAGCTACGGCGTCCAAAAGTGTTAATAAGAAAGAGATATCTTTATTCAATCATATGCAGTCGCTCAAAAATGCATTAGGAGTTACAGATTTTAAGGAAATGTCTGTTAAAGCCAAAACAAAGATAATTAAAAAAACATTACCAGTAAATTTGTATCAAACATTAGACAATGAACAATGTGAAGCTTTAAGTGAAAGTATATGCTTACATTATGAAAATCAAACTGAAGATCAAGAATCAGATGCAAATAATGTTTCAAAATTAGTTGGTAAAGGGAATTTATTTCTAGATTTACCAGAAAAGGTTGGTGAAGAGCTCATGGATAACTTGCTTTCGCTGTTATTGATTCCTGAATTCAATCAGGAAAGTCATCCAATTTTATCCCATACAAATTACATATTTCCAAATAATACAAAAGAAAGCCTACGAATCAACAAATTCATGGACCAAGATAAGTTTTTTATGAGAAAAACATTTGAGTCAATTGCTCCAGAAAGACAGAGTTGCTGTTTTATCTATACAAAAGAATTAGTTAATAAAGAACAAAAAACTTACGTGGGTATATGTCATTTCATAGTGTCGTGTGGTGCTGAGGTATATGGCCTTTTTACTACATTCAATAATCTAAATCCATTAGAGGATAGTGATAATCATTTTGTTTGTTTTAACATTCCAAAGGGAACAAATGGTGTAAAAAAATGGATAAACATGGAGGATTTAGTTTGCTTGACTTGGCCAGTTATGGGTCCACAAAACACCAGTTTTTTCCTTAAACAAGAGTATATTGATCCCAAACCAAGTACTGTTTGTATATTTGAAGGTACAAAAATGTTCTTTTAGACACTAGCTGCTACTTTCTGGATCATAATTCTATAAAAACGTCTATAGATTGCCTGTATATATTGTAAAATAAAATGTCAAAATATTTAAGTTCCCATCTGTATAGTAAGACACATGCAAATATTATATTTTTGTGTGCTTTCAAGGTTGGGTTACTATATATATATTTTTTTGTCCCGGAAAAAAAAATTCAAAGGGCTAGATTTCGAACTAAAAGACAAAAAAACACCAAAAAGACCGAATGTCTCATACTCCCAACTAACCCATACCATACAATTTATGAATTTTTCGAAATACGTCATTACCAGGTTATATACCAAATGTTGGCTTTACCATTGTCTAAAATTTGATTTAAATACACTTTATCATAGTATAATAGAGTAATGAAAGATGCTATTCAACTCAAATTTTTCTGAAATTTATTGTGGTACTGTTCTTGAAGCTGTATCGTACAAAAAAAAATCCGATTTTTTATAAAAGTTTAATATATTTATTTCTAAAGTAAAAATAAAATTATTGAGGTACACTTTATTTTTGAAATAAAAAAAAAACCCCAAAATTTTGAAAGTGTCCAGAATTGCTCAAAAAGACATGGATATAAATCCTGGGACAGCTAGAGACAATCCAGTAAGAAAAAGG